TCAAAACGTCCTAACTTCTATACCTCCACTAAATTGAGACACCCGTAGGAAAATTCCATTGCAAACAAATTAAATAGCTCATTGTCAATCCAGACTTCATCAGTCATAAGAATAAGTTCAAGACCTATTATCTTGGGCAAGGTCTTCAAAAAGAAGAAAATAAGAAAAAAGAGTGTCGTTAAGAACAACGAGAAAGTACTAATGAAAAAATAAATGCCAATTCAAAATCGATATAGAGATGTTTCATAACGGACTAATGCTGGAGGTTGCATTTGACATAAAGCACCAGAGTATAAAAAGGTTATTGATTATAACATTATAAGAACTATCAGCAGAGAACTACCGCTTAAATCTTGCAGATAATATCGGACTCCTCGCAATGAAAACAGGATCCTGATGTCCGACTTTACGTTTTGACTTTCAAGAGCCTTGTAGGGACCAGACCGCTTCGACACAGCATTTATGCCAAACGTAAGTCAACGTCGTCCAAAGCAGGCTGAGCTTCTCCATTCCAGGCAGCCTGGAAAGGGGGGGAAACGTGCGGGAAAGTGGCTTCGTCTTCACCGCCACGTATGTCGCGTGGAGGAACGCGTTGACTGCAATCTGGCGCAGGCATTCCAACGTATTTCACGGTGGCCTGCACAGCTAGATTCGTATGCTGCTCTTGGCAGGCTAGAAGTCATCTCCCTTGAGGAGGTTGTGTTTGTCGTCAGGCGTAGCAATGCGAGCCCGACGAAGACCTTCTCCATATTTCGTAGCCCATTGATGGTCTGACGTGGAGTCTCAGATCCATTGATGATTTGGACCTTGAAGGTGTACTTGGCGCTGTTAGCATCTGCTGGAATAGTGCGAAGTTTGTAGGTGGTAGAGCGAGAATCGTCGATTTCGCATTCATCATCGAGGTCGATGAGAGGAAGGATTGGTTTGTCACGCAGCTTGGACTCGAAGCTGGTGTATGCGTCTTTGGCAATCTTCATGGTGAGGAATAGGTTGAGGGTAGCTGAAAGCTATTGTGTTTGTTAACAAAATGCACTACGCTAAAAGCTAGTGTAAAGATCTTTCGAGTGTTTTGAGTTTGAGAGAATGAAAGTTATGAGAGGATTAGAAAGCTATGAAAACTAATCAACGAGAGAGATCCACAATCAAAGGATCGTAGATCTGAACTCCCGCGGGAGACTGTAGAGTGTGATAGAGTAGGTTGCGGTAGCAATCCTACTCACTCCACGATCCAAAAACGGAACGCGTGGAAGATTCGTCTAGCATTTATCTAGTAGCGTGGAATCTCTCCACGCCAGCTAAATATCTAGCGCGATGTTTCACCATCGACCTAGTATGACTAGCGGTCATGAGAACCCTGTCTCAATGACTATTCACGAAAGACTCAGTCATGAGTCGAACTCAAACCCTATCTAGGATCGAGTCGCGAATAAGGCTAAGAGCCGTGTATTGCACTGCCATGACATTCTATGCACCGGACATTGCTGGAGGAGGAACAAGAGTCAATAAGAGTGGCTATTCATGCACGATCATTTGTGGAAGCAATGCCGCTGGTGATCCTCTGCCTCCTCACTTCCAGTTGAAGACATTAGCCACATCAGCTGAAAGGGAAAGGATCTGTGTGGATTGGTTCCAACACACAAAAGATACAGTCGGTACCTGGGGCTTTGAAGACAAAACAAAACGTCCGTGCAGCTTTGGAATGAATGAGAGAGCCGGTATGAATGCTATTGAGTTAGACAAGTACATGAGTAATGCAATACTCACCTTGTACCCGGATATAGAAGATACACCCGGCAAAAGAGTTCTTGTGAAGGTGGACAGTGGCCCAGGAAGGAACAACATTGACATGCTCGCTGATCTGAGATTGCAGGGGCTGTATTTGATTCCTGGTGTACCCAATACAACTGGGGTGACACAAGAAACTGATCAGAACTATGGTCCATTCAAGACTGTGTACAAGGACAATCTTAGACGTTTGTCTCAAGCAAGATTCGACATGGATAAGAACCTTCAAGTGAGTGACTTACCGTTGCTTGTCTTTGGTGGGAAAGATCCGGTGGCTGATGTTGTTCTGCGGGATGCCTTCTCTGAGGCTTTTTCTGTCAGCATGAACCGGCGATGCTGGAAGAAGGTTGGAGCTGCACCGTTGACTAGGAACGCACTCCACCATCCCAATGTGCGCCATGAAATTCCTGATGACCGAGCTGCATCAGTGCTTGCTGCCACTGGTGCGGAAGAAGATCCAACAGGAAACATCGCCAAGCTCAAGAACCAGGAATTAATGAACAGGTTCTTTTGTGACTTCTTGACGTCAAGTGGGATGGATGGTTCTCAATTGTCAATTGCCGCTCCCAAAAGGAAGACTTTCGTGGGTGTTACTGAGGCCCATTCACAAGCCCGGATTGATGGTATCAAGAATGCAAAGACCACAGGGCAAATGCACTATGTCACAGGTGGCCGACACATGAATACCGATGAATTCTTCAAAGCAACCAAATTGAAACAGCGCGATGAAGCTGTAAAAGCTCTCGAAGACACAAAGAAGGCCAAGACTTCTGCCTACAATGCCGAAGTGGCGGCCAAGTTGCTGCTGCAGGAGAGGGGAGTCTTCAACGTAGAGACTGGCAAGGACTTCACAGTGGCTCAAATTAAAATTCTGTTGAAATGGCGGAGATGCCCAAAACCTGCGTCTCAAAGAAAGGTGGATCTCATGATTGCTTGCTTGGCTGGAGAGGATCCACCCGCCCCGGCGGTCGCATGGTCTCCTGAAGAGGAGTCCGAGCTGCAGAAGGCAAAGGGTATTGACATGGAGATGAAAGACACTGCCTTGGGTGTCGCGGCGACCCAAATGGCAAAGGCCGTGACACACAACATGGCCAATTTGGACCCCGAAACAAGGGCTGCACTCAAAGCTGCCATACAGGCCTCCGAATATGGTGAACCTACTACTCCTCCTGAGGCCGCGATGGCTGGGGAAGGTTCGTAAGGTCTTCGAAACAGCGGCTTTTCGTCATCGTGGACTCTTTTCCTATTTTGTTATTTCGTTTCTTCGATTGTGGGATCGTCAGTCACTAGAAAATGGGATCCACTAAAGGCGATAATGAGCCGTCCCTTAACTCTAAAAGTTTACATTCCATTAACTCAATAAGATGACTAGACATGGTCCGATTAGGGATTTACACCGGAAATCGGAAGGTGTGATGTGAGCAAAGAAAAGTACGTAGGAATCCTACTACGCTCCACGTGTAAACCTCGTAATTCACCTTAAACTAGTACCTCGGTTGGAATCGAAGCAACCTACAGTACCGTACCGTACATGTGCGTGGCGCAACATTTCTGCTGCAAGCTCAGAGCACAAAGTCGCTACTTTGGCAGTCGATAATGGGAATAGTATACTTTTTGGCTGATAGAAGAAGCAAGACAAGCAACCGACTGTAACTACGGTACTGTAAAGCACGGCCGGTGGCGCGAGAATGCCGCCTCAAGCTGTGCGGGTAGTCCCCTTCGTAGCTACAGTACCCCGGCATGGTTGCTTTGACCTCATGCTTGGCAAGCGTAACATACATGTACAATCCGTAGCCAGCCACATACTTGAATGAAGGCTCCACGGATAGTAGTAGTCACGTAGGAAGACCTTCTTTTGCACGTGGTGGTTCAACACATCATCAATGGCAGATGGATTCTGGCGAAATCATGCAACTGACCCTCTACAGTGGAATATCCTAGAGTTAGCCAGGTATCGGAACGGCTTCGCACTGACGAGGACGAGAACTGCCGACAGAAAACGATGGCACCCCCCGCCGCAATGAAGCGCCATGGCGAATCTTTGGGTGCGAAACCCAACAGATCGAACCAAGGTAGCATGAGATCTTTGGAGCAATCTTGACCATGAAATCCGCTCCATGTTGCAATCGAACGATATGTTGGCACTAGCTAGCTAGTATATTGTAGTACGTAGTTTGAAAAGAGAAGGTTGATGCAAAACTAAATAGCATTTGTTTTAATATGTGAATAAGCAATCATGTGTGGAAGAAAAATGTAACAGGGCCAAGGATTTGTACAAAAAAGCCGGGAACAAAATTGGGAGACACAAGCAAAAACAATTACTTGCGCAGAACAGAAGTCCTCTTGGGTCGTCTACTGCTGCTGGCCGTGCCAAAGAGCCGCAGAAAGAACTCGGAAGTGCATCCCTTGGAACTGGCTTTGCGAGACTTTTTAATGGCCAACAGTTCATCTTCCATTTGTCTCCATTGACTGCGGGCAAATCCTTCGTCGCGCAACCAGTCTTCCCGAATGGCTTTCGGCACAGCCAGTTCGGGCTTGGTGCGTCGTGCGGGCCGCGTCAGTTCGTATTGCTCCACACTCAACTGTAGTCGCGCGTGCAGTTCATTGCCCATGGCGAGTGGAGGTCCCACGCTCACCGCGGGATTGTCTCCAAGCGTTAGAGGAAAGATGAGAACTTCCATGGACCCGAACGATACGGCGCGGGTATCCAAGCCAACGGGGGGAGCATATGTCTCTGCCACACTCATGGCTTGTGTGGGGAACTTTAAGCATCCTCCCACAACACGCTCCACGACTTCCATACTGCGGTTGGAAGAACACTCGTCGTGATCCAAATCAAAGGTGGCGGAAGACTTTCGGCGTCCTAGACGGAGTTTGGGGAGCTTCAACAGGCTGATCGATCTCTTGGTGGGTTGTTCATGGCAGCCCTTGCAGTCACTGTGGCTCTCGCACAGAACAGGGGTAGAAGCAACTCGTAGCATTGTCATGTTTGTGTTGGTTGGTTGATGGTCAACAACTAGCTAGTTCTATTATGAAAGGTTGGTTGTATCTTTCTTTGGTCTTAGATTTGTGAGCCAAATGGGAATATGCGGGTGCTCTATGCGAATTTTCAGCTACGAATGAACGTGATAGTGGCTGTGGGGTGTGGGCCGAGGAGCTCTGTGTGGCTGACCACAGCAAGGAAGCATGGTGTGGGACCTTGTTTTGCTGCAGCCTTTCCACGCAAGATTGGGTGACTGTGCTTGGAAGTTGGACCCTCACGGGAAACTGTCCAAGTACTGTTTTACTATAGACTATCACCAACAATGGTCAACGTCATAGGCTCCGAATTTCTCAACAGAATTCTGGCCTGAGTTTGAGAATTTGTTGGAAGTGCTGGCGATCCGCCAGCACTTTTGACCAAAGGTGTCAACGATGCAGCCAATCAAATCACTTTTGGAGACCGGAAGTTGAAGCTGCGTTTTCCAGTTTTTGATTTTCCACACAATTGCGAGAGCTTTGCAAGTTGGTTTTTGTCCAATGCATGTGCCATGAAACGGAGTGTCTTAGGGGCATAGAGTCTCGGTTCATTGTGCCTCTGCAAGATTCCCATCCAAGACGAATGCTAAGCCCTAATGTCCCAATTTCTTCTTTCACGTTCCTTCACTCAGACTTTCCAAGCCGATAATGACCATATCAGTGATTGTACAGTGAAATAGTAGAACCAAAGAGCACACAAGATTCTAAGTCTAACCAGTTTAGGGTTCGCCATCCAAAATGTCCATGCCAGAATGAGTTCCCCCTGCTTCGTCGATGTTCAATACATCATGTACAAAATTTTAGTGCACACCACTATTAATACCCTCTACCGGTACGCAGCTACGGTACCTAGCCGGTACCGGTATTGGTGCCGCTTTGCTGGCTGGTTTCTAGTTGTTTCGTTGCTCCTCCTGCACTGCCATCCTCCCCTCCACAGCTCCCTCCACCACCACCCCTGGACCGGAAGCACTCAGGACCATCATCGTTGGATCAACTTCTGGTTCGATATTGCTGGGATCAATTACTACCATAGCTAGCTACGCACAGAGAAGGAGGGAGTACTGTAGCTCCCGTAGCAAGTTACTAGATACGGCACCGTTGATAGTCTCCCTCCAGCTTTCTTCAACTTTACCAGTGATTTGCAACTGCCCTACTACAAGTACTCCTCGTCTGAAGGCTGCGACAAGCGCTGGAAGCTCGCGCTGGGCTCTTCATCACTGGAATAAAAGCGGTACCGTTGGTTTTGTAGCTCCAGCTAGCAGCTAGTACTAGCTAGTACCAGTACATGTAGTGGAGTTCTTCGGTCAGCAGTCAGGGTCAGCAAGGTACCACTCTTAGAATTCATGGCCAGCAACAGATGCTGCTGCTGTGATGATCCAGCTAGCACTTCGGCTTGTGGCATTGAAGGGCCTCGGCCTATTCGAATTGGTCCCTGGTTCCCTGGTTTTGAAAATGCACTTTTTAGCTACTATGATAGCTAGGCTCCCCATGCTCCCATCACCGCAGTTGTTGTTGACTGGGACAAAAGCGGTACCGTTGGTGGTACGGTGCAGCTCTAGCTAGCAAGCAAACCAGAGTTCTTCGGCCCGAAAACAAAGGACAGCAGTCAGGGTAACATGCGTAGCATTCATGGCCAACAGCTGTCAGATGTGTTGTGCAGCCATGTACCACTGACTGTATATCAGCCAGCCATCCTGTAGATCCAGCCAAACAGCTTTGTGTTTGCTTCACAGCAATTCGGCTGGTGGCATTGAAGGGCCTCGGCCTATTCGAATGCTCCCTGGTTTTGAAAATGCACTTGCTTCAAGTGCCAAGGGCAATGGCTGGATATCTGCCGGTAGATGTAAAGATCCAATGCCCAATCGTTGCTGGGCTGTTGCCAGTCGGTTGAAGCCACAGTGTTGGCTGGTAGCTAGCTCTACTGGTATGGCAAGCCGCTGAAATTTCGAAAGAGCCTTGCCAGTTGATGTTTGCAAGGTCCTCTTCTATCAAATGCAGCAAAAGGTGGGAGTGCTTCAAGTTGTTGGTGGCAGGTCTCCTTTCTTAAAAAGATCTATCTTGCTATGATGCTCCTGCCTGGTACCGGTATCTTCGTGTGTCCTGTTACTGTAGAACTCCGTGAGCCCTACCGGTATTTCCTCTAGCTTTCGCGAAGCTTCAGTATAAAGCATCTATGACGGCTTATTTCAAAATCGGTATCATAGTATCTTTCATCCAGATTCGATTCGAGATGGAGCACCATCCACAACACTTGCCCCATAGCATGCCATGTCCCAGAAGAAGACAAAGGGGAGACCATGGCGCTCCTGGTTTCCCCTGTTAGTCTTTGCCATTGTATCTATTGGAATGTACTTGAAAAATTGGAAGCAACTTGATTTGGTGACACAGAGTGTGGCGGAGTTCACCGTGAGCAATCAGCAAGGAGAAGAAGAAAAAGTAATGGGAGGCAATCAGAATCGCACGAGTGCAGAGCATGGCAAGGAACTTTTGGTTCCACAACATGTCGACGGTGGTGCCTTTGTCCATTTGGGTAAGACTGGCGGAAGCACTTTGTCTCAGTTCCTAAGGAACGCATGTCATTCGTTTCTTCCAAAACCATGTGGAGTCATCCCCAATGAAACTCTCATCAGCAGGTTAATCACCGATTACTATCATGGTACGTGAGGATATTGTTATTTGGACAGTATTGAACCAAGCTACAGAATAGCACCAAGCGATCGATGGATTGGATGTTTTTCTCTAACTGCCATGATGGTTTGCCCACGGACAGTGCCTGATTTTTTCCGTTTATCTCGCAAGATCCATTCGTTCTATCTAGTATCGCTTCGAGATCCCTTTGAACGCACAGTTTCTGGCTTTGTGTATGGTCATCCATCCAATGCTCCCCTGTTGGGTATCGGAATGATGGACAGTTGGAAACGAAGACGAAAGGGATACTTTCCGCCAACCTGTTTTGAAACTCTGGAAGAATGGGTGCAAAACTTGAACACGGACGACAAGTTTGACGAGTTTGACTATCCCTACTTGCCGGTTCACATGGTGCAAACCAATTGCACCAACTTTGCACGGGCCATGCTGGGAGCGAGAATCAAGAGAATGACACACCTCTTTTTCAACTATCAAAAGATACAATCCATGATGCCACATAATGCTACTACTACTACGGCAGACACGACAAGCGCAAACCACACCACCACAACAACAGCAGCAACATCGCCATGGGATCATCTGACGGTGTACGTGACACGAAACGAACACTTGTTGGATGACTTTGCAAGCATCAATCAACTCTTGTTGGGAGATGAAAATTCCACGACGTTCGACCCATCGGTTCTAAGGGCAGAACAGCACGTTCGCAATGTGTCCAATCTCACATTGCCCGTGACGCGCGAGTTGAGCGACAAGGGGCGTCGACGACTTTGCCGGGCGCTCCAACCAGAGTACCGACTGTACATAACCCTGTTGCGGCACGCCAAGAATCTGAGAAACGAAGACGTACAAGAGGCACTGGCGTATTCGCAAAGCAAGTGTCCCGACTTGAATTGGAATTTGTTGTCACTTCAATGAACGCACAAGGCGTTAGTTAGCTTTAGTGGGTACATACTGTTGATTGATTCATTGATTGATTGATTGATTGATTGATCGAGAGATAAGGTTGTACAGAAGCACAGACGTTTTCAACGTGCTCACCCGATTCTGCAGCAACTTGACGAGTTTAGCGGTTGTCCACTTGGTCCAGGTCCTCGAAAGCGGTTTCCGCTCAATGCTCCATCGGTCATTATCGTTCTTTACGGTACCACAACGAGCAGGAAGCCACGCAGCTCATAGCTAGCCGCATCGCCACTTTCGCAGCCAGGTGTACGAAGTTGTCAGCCAAGTGGCACGTTTTGCTATTCACTCTACCTTGAATGAAATGCAATGAGTCTGTGTTGAACGAAATGATGTTCATCGTGGGAAACGGAGGATGATTTATTACGTTATGGTTTTAGTTGGATATTATTTATGTCAAATGGTCTCGTATGGACTCGAATCGTCGAGCGAACGCGCACCAGATGTTTGGCACTGTGCTCATGCAATGAAAGGTTGATACACTGCATGCAAGGGATAGGCAGTTTTATTAATCCATGTTCCCTGAAGAAGGATTCTTTCCAGTCCACTGCCGGATCAGCCCTGTAACACGGGATCCCACCTTGGGCTTGGGCTCGGAATGGGAGGCTTGGCTATTCAGACGTGAGGTAGAAATGGAATCATCAGCATCATCCTCATTGGTGAGTTGTGGAAGAGCTGGGCCTCTCTGATGAGGACCAGGAGAAGCAACGGCGGACGCAGCGAGTAGCTCCATCAATACACTACGTGGGTTACCGTCCAAGTCTTTCTGGAGAGACTTTGGACGGGTGCCAACCTTGAGATAGCTCTTTAGTGGAGAAGGTGCTGACTCTGCATCTACTGGATCCTTCTTGTCCGCATGGGGGAAACCATCCTCGTAGGCTTGCACGAAGTCGCTAATGAGCATTTGGCCCCACTCGGTTGACCCCGCAAGATCATTGACAGACCGAATCGTATAGACCACCGCTGCACCACTTGGATTTTCATGCACAGCTACGTTTGCTGGACTCCGGACGTCCGCAGCAAAGATGAGCGTTTTGTGCAGGTCCTCGAAGCGAATCCAGTCCACGAAAGGATTCAACGCTTCGACGATAACATCCTTGACGTCTGTAGCATCCACCCCGTCGATCCATGTGGGCCTGTTCGAAGAAAAGACTGCATCGATGGTTTGTCGACACCGCGAGCCATCGTTCATGTTCCATCGTTTCTTCCACTGCTTCGAGACAGCTTGACACACGTTACGGAAAGTGAACAAGCTCAAATTGGAAAGTCGGTTCGGGTTGTTGAAGACATGTCGAGAAAGTGCACGGCGAATGACGGGCCACAACTGTGTTGCTGCTTCTCTGCGTTGAACCACCTGGATTAGCTGAAGTGCGTATTTGTCGAGTTTATCAATTTTCTGTTTCAGCTCATGTCGTCGCTTCTTGTGTTCCTTGCGTGAAATCAACAGAGTTATGATGAAATCGAATACCATTTCAATCTTCTGCGGCCCACTGCATCTAGACTGATCCTTGTCCAACTTAGGATAAAATGATAGCATTTGCTCCCAGATTTCGTCAGGGATAAGAAGGCCGTGTGTGAGATCAATCGTTGTTGTAGCAGGACTTGAGCTGCTGTAATCTGCGGAAATCACGCTAAGCTTGCGTTTCTTGGACGAACTCTGGCGTGCATTGTTTCCTTTGTCGACGGTCAACCGAGCTTGGGCTTCCTGGATCCGGTGGATTTTCGGTGCATGTGCTTCATAGAAAGCGAGGAGGTCGGGATCCTCAGCCTCAAGCTGCTTCGCTAATTCTGCATTCACTCGATGGTGTGAAGCCATTGCGATGGTCAAATATATTTGTGAGCATTGTTGTGCGAAAGATTTTCATCTACCAGTAGTATTGGTACATGTAGGGTGCATTTTGAAACTTAAAGAAAACCCCTCAAAGATCAAAATCGAAATCAAACAGATCCTCTTGCAGCTTTCAAGACGTTCGGAAAGATCAAAATGAAAATCAAACTGAACACCCATCATCTGCGACTATCTGTGACTGGTTGAAGGACGGCGAGTTGTGGGAAAGTGAAAGGATGCATGCGCACCCTGGCCTTCATGTGGAAGGTTTCAACATTTGCACATTGGTTGCTTGGCCGAATCGACTGGTACTTTGCCTCTTTTGACGACAAAACTAGCTACTCTAGTCTTGTGATGGTAATTGCATATCATGTAAATTGATTTCTATTTCTTAATTACGCCATGTTGATTGTGGCTATTGCTTGTATTCTATTCAAGGCTGACTTCTGCTTTTCGTCAAGGACACAAGAACCTATTTGCAGTGACCCCATTCCTCCTCAAAAAGATGGTCGAGATGAGCTTCATCTAGCCAGTCCAGGAACTCGCTTGCCATTTCTTCCCACTCGTCAAACTCCTTTCGTTCTCGGGCAATCCTTCGTTTTCCTCTCTGTTCATAAATCTGGTCTTCTTCAGCTTCACGTTGTTCGACCAGCTTGCGTTGCTCTTTCTGTTTTTCTGCCTCCTTCCTTTCAAACTCCTCCCTTGCTGCCTTCCATGGCTTGTCTAACTCCAACGAATGTCGATCATAAACAGCTTTTTCAGCGACGCAGCGCATGTCGTACTCGATCATGGGACCCAGTTGCAGCTCTCTTGAACGCTTGCTAGCGGCCCTCTCGGCCATAGCAATCTTTTTGCGTAAGGTCGGCCACAGACTCGCGTTGGGCGCACAGTCTAGACCGTACTCTTCCTGAGAAAAGGTTATCTCAAGTCCGAAGACTACGAGTGGCGTTTCCGTGTCATTGGCCCCAATGATTTCACGCTCCCAATCGATGTTGACTTCTTCGTACACATCGCGAATTCTTTCGTCCTCGCGAGCATCAAAGTCATCAGAATCAAAAGATCCGATCGATGCAGAGGAACTGTCGCTGTCGCTGTCGCTGTCGCTGTCGCTGTCGGAGGAGGAGAGTGGTGGTGATATGGCTGACCAGCAACTGTCGTCATCGTCGTAATTGTTTTCCTCCATGAAATACTTCTTGACCGAGGGAGGATCGGGGGAATGGCTCGAATCCACCGACATGTTGTCGCAGTCATTTTCGTTCTCCTCCATGCTGGAACGTTGTTGCTCTTGTCCGTCTTGAAGAAAAGGAGGAGAAACCTCAAAGGATAGGATAACCTTGTTGTTGGATGACATTGGCTCGGCTGGAAGGTCAATGTCAAGAGCGCGATCGTCGTCGCTGCGAAAGGAACAAGAAGAATCACTGTCGTTCATGGCGTCGTCGTTCACACGGGCAGTAATATTTGTTCAACTGGTTTGACAACAGAGTGACACAAGGCGTTGATGCAATTAATGAGACTTTAGGGTTGCTGAACTCTGTACCGCAGGACCTTCGTCCTCTCGATTTCCGTCATCACGATGATGAAGCTGTCGAAGTTTTTGCTTGCGGTCCATGCTCGTCTCTCCCTCCATCGTTTCCTTTCCACGACTGAGCGCAGGCCAGTCGTGGTTGAAGAAGGGACAAATTGAACGATTTTCTCCAATCCGTACCATTGCCAGCAGCTGTTCTTCTGCACCACAAGTGCCGGACGGGGAGCATGAGGTCACGGTGGCCACAGCGTAGGACAAATATTGTATGTATTGACGGAAAGCAGCTACTGTCAGCTATTAGGTATCGTATCGTAGTAAGCCGAAGATGAGATTGGACCGATACATCGAGGCGAGTGACGGGAATGGACGAATCTATTAGTGACAAAATGCGAACGGCACAGCCGACCACGGAAAGAGTCCATTCCAATCATTGGTGGAAAGCTTTGTTCCAACTTTTTGCTAGCTCGGATGTGGCTGTTGTCAGTGGATTTCTCAAGGAGGATAGTGGCCGCAATGGTAATGCCGCTTCTTGATGAAGGGACTGAAACGAGGAAGACATCAACAGGACCAGAAAAACTGTCCACGAGGACAGCACATCCCAATGCTTGGTATGTGGATAAACGCTAGTCGGAAGAGTGGCAACATATCTATACATTTATTTCATCTCTGCCTCCATGATGTAATTTTAAAATACTAGAAATTTTAAAATGGTGAAGCAGAGTTTCTTGAGGGCATACTGTCAGCAAACGAGCTCCGCTTCGAACGAACAACCTGTTCCTGGGAGAAAAATTGTGGCAGCCACTTCTTGCAAGGCTTGGAAATTGACCAACAAAAGGTAGTGCCTGAAGATGGTTTGCTTCCTTGATCGCTGTCGAGGCTACGGTAGCAAGATGTGTGAAGTGATTTCTATGTATGTGCACTACTGTAAAGAGCTAAAGCAACTCAACGTTCTTCAGTTCGTTGCCGTCAAGGTCAACTGGCGGGCCAAAGTCCAGTGCTGGGGTCCCTTCTGGCCCTTCAACGACTGGAGCTGCCCGTAGACTTTGGTCGTCCAGGGCGAGCGAGTTGTCCAAATCAGGGTACACAGGAGGGGCTTCTTCTGTCACTACTCGCTTCCTGCGGTAGACCACAACCCCAGCGGCAATGGCCCCCAAACACAAAAACACTGCAACGACGATGCCGAACTTGGCTCCTCCCGTGAGTCCAGAAGATGATGCCGCCACTGGGATGTTGTTCGCTTCTTTGTTGCTGATGACTTTGTGAGGTTCGTTTTCAGTTGAATTCTTTGAATACTCACAATGAGGACCTTCAAAGTTTGAGTGGCACCTGCAGGCAGCCTCACTACAACACCAGGAAAGTAGGGGAGGTAAGTGAGTTGAATGCGAGCGATTACAAACTGGAAATGAGCCATCCTTGGAACTTACCCGTCCTTGCTGGTGACACAGACGCCGCCATTGACGCAGAACCCTCGGTTTCCCTGCTTTGATGGCGAAAAGTTCAGGTTGTCTTTGATCGAGCAAACATCGTTTGCCAGATGCTGGCAGTAGATTCCTGCTGCATGCGTTTCTGCCTCTGAACAAACGCAGGTGGGAACACCGTTGACCATGGTGCATCTGTGCCGCGAACAAGAAAGAAAGGAAAAGGTCAGATTGCAAGGATATACATAAGCAACTTTCCAACCCAGCCACTCACGTCGAGCCGTGGAAGCAAGGATGATCCTCTCCATTTTCTCCGCACGATGTCATGGAGTATTCGCATTCAATGCCAACAAAGCCTTTGGGGCAAGCACAGTGCTCAAAATCCTTGTTGTACGAAATATTCAGGCCCACAGCACCCAATTCCGAGCCATACTTTTCCATCAGCTGCTTGAGGTGAGAATCATGGTTTGTGCCCTTTCGGCAATGTCCGCCATTCTTGCACTGAAGCTTGCAAACATTGTGACTGACAGCGGCTGGATTCTGGATATTCATAGCATCTCGGAACTGGCAATGCGCACTGTCAATGGGAAGTCACAGAGCAGAGTTAGTTTGGGTCAATGTTCCAGGAAAACGCAGGAAAACCATCATCCTACTTGTACGTACCCATGAAAGTCAGCGCCGCAGCCACAATGTTCGTGGGATTCCTCTGGACAGGTGCCATTGTGTGTGCAGAATGTAGTTTGCTTATCGTCATCATCATAGTGGCAAACACTGGTGCTCTTAATTTCACAGTGGCGTCTGGCAAGAGAAAAAGCTGATGTTAGAACAGCAGTCCATGTTGGACAACAACAACATCTCCCCAGCATTTGTTTGTTTGAATCAATGTACGTATGCATGTCAATGAACGTACCCAGCAAATTGCACGTTCTCTCCCTTTTCCATCTTTTGTTTGTTGATATGCCAGCAATCGCAGTGGTGTGTGGTTTCTCCTGTATCCTTGTTCTCCACCGCGACACAGGCAGATCCGTGTTTGCACTTGATGGCACCACACAAGGTTTCTTCCGTTTCGCAATGGACACCCATGAATCCGTGAGGGCACTCACAGTACATAAAGTTCTCGTGAACCACATGGATATTGTGCTGTTCTTTGCCCTTTTGTTCATTCAAGACAAGGGTGTGATTTTCTTCCTTGGTTCCGTATCGGCACGAACCACCATGTTGGCATTGCAGATTGCATGTGGGGACAGCTGGTTCATAGAATTCGCACATGCGTCCAACATAGTTCTCGGGACAGTCACAGGGGTCAATCTCATCCACGGTGGACTTGCAGGTTCCTAGTAGTGAGTGTTGTGGTATGTCGATCGCACAGGAGGGTCAATCAGAGCCCAAACAGACAGCACAAGAAGGTCAGATCACATCGTTGGACTATGCTCTGCTGGATGGCAGCTATCGCTGCAGCAGTTTCTTGAAAACATACCTCCATTCTGACAGATATTGTTGTCTTCCGTGCAGCGCGTGTGCTGTGTTGTTACCTCGACTATGTTCCGCACACAAGAAGTCAAAAAGGTTAGCCCTTGCACTCGAAAGAAGCATATCCATTGAAGCGAATCGAATCCCCTCCAACATACCTTCACAATATTTGCCAGAGAATCTTTTCGTGTTGCCGTTGGTGTCCACAGAGGAAGGACAATCACAGTATTGCTGATCATTCTGATAGATATCCTTCAAGGTATCAATGCATTGTCCTGACGAGAGAATTCATAATACAATAGTTGTTAGTAACGGTAGCCGCATGAAACGGTAGCAGATATTCCCGATAATAAGATTCGATTCCGTACCTCCATTGAAGCAAGTATGGGTTCCGTCGTTACAAGATTCATATTTGCGGCCGCATCGCAACCCCGTCAGTCCAGGAGGACATGCGCAATGCCATCCATCCCGTTCAATTTCTTTGCTAAAGTCAAAGTTGTCGCCCGTGGAAGGATCCACTGGATGCCACGAGAAGTTGGCCACCCCGCGGGTGCATGTAGTGTCGTGAAGACAATCAATGGTACAATTCTTGGCCACAGCTCCGTGCGGAGCCAGAAGCGCCGCCAGAGCCAAGAGCCGCGAGGCTACTACTACTTTGCTGGTTGTTGTTGTCATTGTCTCTCCACTTATATTGCTACCGTTGCTAGCTAGAAACACCCTCCAAAGAAACTAAGAGAAATCTCCCACAAAACTGCACCACTACTGAACCCTTTGAGACTTTCTTTCTCAAAAATGATGGTACACAATCGCTCCCAAAGCGCTCGCAAACTTGACGCTATCTTAGAAGTCAACAACAATCATAACATGACCTGCCCGGCAGCCAAGTCGTTTGGCCACTCGTGGGAAGGCTTCTAACAAGCTTCTAACAACGGTCAATTTTTCAGTACAGCCGCGAAGGATGATCCGCGTGAAGTTGTCTAAATAAAAATTTTCAAGGCCATGGCAGGCGCCTCGTGGTCTTGTCTTTGGCGCGGTTCTTCTATTTTGGATTTTGGTAACGGCCAATTTAGGTCAAGGTATTTTGGAAAGGTACTGTAGAGCACCGCAATGCACCAAATTCATTGTCCTCTTACTTCTTGGTCTACTAGTCTAGTTAGGATACCCCTGGCCAAGTATTGATGAAGGTTTCCTTTCGAAAAAGGGCATCAAATCAGAGTGCAGCAGTTCCGAGTTCTCTGAATGGTTGCCTACCAGTTCATTTGCTTTAGCAAAGGATTGAAACGTTGAAACGATGTTCAGATGACCTAAAAATGGTGGAATCTTCCCTTCCCCAGCTAGATGTTTCTAGCTAGTCCTTCCTGCTGGAATATGCTAGAAAGTCAACCTTTGAAAAAGCATGCATCCATCAGGTACTAATCAACACACTACTGTTTTTCACTGTTAGTCATCCGCACCACTATCTAAAGTTGTTGACCGAGCTATAGCTGCTCCGTTCCGTGTGGCTCAACCTACGCACGGCTCCTTTGGGGACAGACAAACATTGGTTCCCCGTGACAAGTCCCGCCGAGTGTCGCTGACTACCAGATTCTTCTTCTTCCAATTGTCTCATTTCAAAGGGCCGTCCTCCAAGGACCCGCAGCTTGCCACATCCCAAAAAGTTCAAGCACCCCATGAAGAGAATAGTCATGAAGAGGGGATGATAGACAAAGAGCGCCAAGAAAAACTCGACAAAGTATCCCATGACAAACTCGAGCGCTCCAATATTTTGAGCGGCTTCTCGGAAACTCTCTCGGACATCAATGGCATCATCGACCAATCCTCCACTGTTGGACGCACTAAACTCGATTTCATCGTGTGACATGAGTGTGGCCCGCAAGACGACGGCAAAGGTTGCCACGGCCGTGACCATGACCACGACAAAAATGGTAAAGGCGCCGCTCATGCCGCGCAGGAATCCAAATCGTTCGCAGCGGTTGCCGGGCAAACAGCAGCCACATGCCGAAAGCCGCCAAATGGTATTGTCAAAGACGGCGTGCAGGGCGGCTCCCAAGGTCCACAACAGGACCATACCACGGGTGATTTGTAACGTATTGCCCAGTGTTTCGGTATGGGCGTTTTTGGGACGGGGGAGAAAGAGTTCCCAACCAGATTTGGGTTCCAATGTAGTCGGTGCCATGGTATTAGTAACGTTGTAGTTGTCCCATAGATCATCCATCATAGAACTGTTGGTAGTGTTGTTGTTGAAGAACCACTGGTCATCGTTGGTGAGATTGCTGCTAATAATGAGTTCGTTTCCGGCATCTTCATCGTAAAAGGAAATCTTGAAGAGCACCGAATCCGGGTCTTCATCGTAGTAAATATACCCCAACCAAATCATATTGGTAATGGCCAATCCAAAGAGAGCACTTGCCATCAGATTGAGAAACCGCAGTTTGGTCGTCAGTGGATGCTTGGGATGACGACAGCAGAGGCCAAAGATCAAGTGGTTGTTGACAATGTACTGACTCCAGTCTGCCATGTAACTATATCCAGGCAGATGAAAGGCTCGAGCGGCCAAGGCAGCAGCAATGGCATTATCTTCCACCACAGCCTGACGATCTTCTTGGCGAATGGACTTGACACGATCTTTCAGCGTCGACCCACGGGGTGGACGATACTGATGATGATAGTACCGTTCGGCTTCGGAGGAAGACGCCGTGGAACAAGATTCAATGTGAAGAGGAAGAGACGATCCTCGCTTTGGTGGTTTGCCCATGGTGAATTGAGTACAATGCTATGGAAGACTTAGCTAGATAACGATAGCCAATATATGTTGATCTCTTGGAGGCAGAAGTAATGACTCCTTGCCTTCTTCCACATGCAACGACTTGGATGAGGAGCGGCTTCGATCGCTGTCCTGCGAGCCAACGGGGTGGCGCCCACTCACATGGATGTTGGATGCACACCCCGCGGGAAGGTGCGTTCAAAACACAAGAAAATTCACTCGAGTCGTGTTTACAAGGTAATTAATGACCGTTCCCCTCTTTGAGACGCCTGGCGAAATTCAAAACCCTTCTCCCTATCAATGGTACGAGCACCCTTAGCCCTATCAATCAATGTTACCCTTAGCCCTAGTACAGTCACAAGTACCAGGCAGGTACGTCACAGTGAAGAAAGCAATCGAAAGCAATCGAATTTCACCGTCAATCCATCAAAGCCTTCGGAACTTCGGGACAGATCTTTGCCCTGATCCTTCTTTCGCAACAGACCAGCATCCCAAAGCACTTCATCCTTTATGTCTCCTCTCGTTACTTTTTACTCAAAAAGTTTGCAAGCAACAAAACAAATAATAACAATCAACAATTTTTTAACAGCATCATGGACGTTGATTTCTCCAGTGAACAAGGCTTTAAACCACCCGCAGTCGCCAATGATAATATGCCGACACCTCTGTGTGGGTTCTTTGTCCCAGGAGGACCCGTCCGGAGTGACTTTGTTCCAATGGACCCCACGGGCATCAAGCGGACGCTACAGCTTTCCAGTCCAGGAGATCTTCCATCTCCGCTGGCATCTGTCACGGAATTGGCCTGTTTTCTATGGCCCAACGTCATACTCCCCGAGGGACAGGGACTCTCTATATACTGGCAAATATCGGGATTGCCAGATCCATCTTCGACTGCTCCACCACCCAGTACGGGATTTGAATTGTTGGGAGCATTGGTACCGGGCACCCAATCCTCGCAAGTCTTTCGAACGGGATGGAGTGAACACGAACAACTGTTGGACATTATGAGTCGCAACATTCCCGTGGTGGTGACCATTGGCATTGGTGTAGAACCCTTGACCAGTATTCACAATATTCGACCGGTCGATCGACTGGAGAATCGCATGGTTGTGGCACAAAAAATTGCCAAGGACTTGTTCAAGTACATGCAGAGTTTTGATACCGGTGGTTCCTACGGTCAAATGATGGTACCGACCAATATCTTTGATCGATGGATGAAACGATTCGAAGCACGATTTCGAAGAGATCCAAACTTCTTTTTAAAGGCCAGTGATGATGATTGAGTGAAAATGAGTGAATGAATCAGTCACCATGATAATACAACAATAATCAACGATTGTAAAAAGAGATTTGGGAAGCAAGAAGTGAACAGCTACTGATACTACTTGCGGGGCTGGCATGAAGGCCGTTGCCGTGTTTGTTTAGTTAGTTCAGATGAAACTCTTTGCATTTCTGGTCGATCACAGAAACCTTATTTAGTTATGCATTTTGCGGCCCCAGCTCGATATGCTCTACCGTACCGGTATGGCTCATGCAGACAAAAAGAGAAATCTTTCCCAGGAGGGTGGCAAAGTGATAATCCATTGCTGCAACCCACATCCAAAGGCGATTTTCGGCTGCCTCTTCTCATAGCTCCAAGGACGGAAACTTGGAACGTAGCAGATTGTGAGTGATTCGTCCAATGGGATTTTCCAACAGTGTTGTACTGCTGGAAAACCGTTGCTCGGGAGTGGTGGTGCTGCAAAAGTGCGCATAGTGTGTATGGAGACACTTGATGGACACCTCGGTCAAAAATCCAGCATCCAGTTTGGATTGATACTCCAGACCCGAAATACCCGACTCTTGGATCATGAATTTCATGTTGGCAATGGTTGGGTCAGACTCTGCGTATTGTTGAAAAAAGTCGCGATCCGATGGTTCCAGTGTCTCCCATCGATCTTCCCCGCATTGCTGGTGGCATCTCAGCAGTTGTTGTCGTTTGTCAAAGTTTGCTGGTTCTTCCAAATTCAAATAGTCCACAATCAAGCCGATATACCCCAATCGCTCAATCTGTAGTACGAATGAGTCATACCGGTACGGTAGCAAGGCAAGGAATTAGGAACATTTGTGTGTGCGTTGCTGGTTGGATACCCATCATAATTTCCTGGACCGAAAAGAAAGAATCCAACCTACCGTACCTCTCCAATCGCTCTGGAAATGGCAGGACATGTCAACCAATAGTTTGTGGGGAAAGGAACTCCCCACGAGGACTTGGGAGACGATGGGTCCAACGGTATCTGGGCGGAATCATAGCCTTTCTTCTTCCTCAGTATTGGATACGTCTTGATGGCAATGGGAGATCCGTGTCTGGTCCTTGCCGAAACATGCAGGTAGTTTGGAGGAAGGTACCCCAGTTGTCGCTCCACAACCGTCTTGTCATCCAGGCTGCTGGAGGATGCCGATGATACTGCCGTCGACGAAAGAAGCACTAAAGCATCCGCCGGGGAGAGCACCAAGCATAATATTGTTAGCAGGAATATTCTGTACCCACAAGTTGGGAGTCTATCTGAAGATTGGGTCATGATGTATGCTGGTGGTTGTCTCGGCCGTCTATCTACCATGCATTGGGTTGTCCCGTACCGTACTAGTAGCTACAGTACCGACGAAGCTTGCAGTGAAGTGACAGTTGTGTGACGAAAGTGTTACGGTGCGGCGGATGGATAAGTTGATTAGAGACAGGGTCAGAAATAACTGGGGGATGGAGAAATCCCTTTTTGTCCACTCGCGGATCTTCTAGCTAGTAACAGATCCGCTCAGTGGATTCTACTCTACTCAGACAATGCTTGACAAAAACTCTAGCTAGCTAGCTAGCTGGATGCATCCCCAAAATTATGGATTTCTCCAATCCCCTGGTATTCAAAGCAAATCGCCAACACCTCAACATGGGAAGTCGATCATGACGAGAAATGAGAAAAGCAACACCTTTCAGAATTCCAACAGAGTGGACAATAATACCTGCTTTGAATTGAACGAACGAACAACCAGGCAGGATGAATGAAACACTTCAAGAAGTCAATCAAACCGCACTGAATGAAACACTTCAAGAAGCCAACACCACCATACTAGTGCTAATTGAAGAAAATGTAGTGGACGTCAATGTGATCACGGAAGCAGTCCGAATTGGAGGTCTCTTCTTCATGTCCATATGCATTACACTGTCGTTTGGGTTCGCCGCCTGGGTGATTTACAATCGAGCCGCACCCACTGTGAAAATGATGCAGCCTCAGTTCTTGCTCATGCTGTGTTTTGGGACAACTCTTACATCATTCACCATATATCCCATGGGAGCCAATGATCTAAACACAGATCACATTAATGCGGCCTGTTTATCATGGCCGTGGTTGTCCTACATGGGAAATACCATCACCTTTTCCGCCCTGTTTTCCAAATTAATGAGGGTCAATGAGATCTTTCATGCGCAGGGATTTCAAAGAAAAGTTGTCACGGCAAAGGATGTCTTGCTTCCTTTTGTAACTCTGGTTGTGATCAACTTGACCTTGCTGATCATCATGTCCGTTCTGGACCCGAATAAATGGAAGAGAGTGCCGGTTTCGGAAGACGATCCCCTCAATACCATTGGCTATTGCGACTATGAAACATGGGTTGGAAATCTAATGGTTGGGCTGCTGGACCTGGTGAATTTTGTAGCACTGATTATTCTGTGCATCCAAGCATACAGGGCTCGAGACATCAAGAGTGACTTTAGTGAAGCCAGAGGTGTGGCATTGGCACTCTTTTGCTGGCTCCAATCCTCTCTCATTGTCACTCCTACACAATGGATTCTTGATCCAACTCAAATTGATACACGCTACACACTCAATGTCATGCAACTATTTGTCAATGCCATGTCCTTGCTACTATTCATCTTTTGTCCCTTGATTGCTCACCATCGACACCGTGTCAAGTATGGCGGCTCACAAAAGCATACTCGAATATCTGGCCTTGACCTTGAAATTGGTAGCACAGCAGCAAAGAGGACCTCTGCAGATACACCCCAAATGCCTGGTCATCACAGAGATTCTGCTGGTGATCAACAACATCATGATGGTCGAAACAGCCCAATTTCTACTACTCCCATGCAACATCCCAACATTCCAGAGATGGTACTGGAATTACAAGCTCTTCGTGCCCGTGTTGCGGATTTACAATCCAGTATTGCCACAGCTTCACAGAGAGCTGAAGAGAACGAAGCTCAACCAATCAAGGACAGAGAAATTGATGAACCATCATAAAGGAGAGTTAGCACCATCTCGTCATCCTGTATTACGCCGAAAATCCAACACTCTTCTCGTCTTTGTCTGGCTGCTTTGACAGAGCTTTAGCACAACTACAAGATGTTATGGTACCAGTTTGAATTTCTGCATGCCTCGTTTTATCCTCTGGATTCCATCGATACCGCTACGGTAGTGAAGATGGTGTGGCGAATGGCTCCGTTGCGCCGTTAATTGTGTTGGATCAAACAACAGCGTACACGGTACGAACATGTAACGGGCACGGACGGTAATGCCGTACCGTACGGCACAACAGAGGCTTCATTCAAGGCGTTGGATCTATCGTTAGAGCTGCACGATTCCGTTCGCTACGAAACTGTTATCTACAACCTACATCATTCATTTCTCAGTGTGCAATTGCACGTGTTGGGCCTTCAACACACCAGTTGTCTCACAAATGCATCTCTTTAGGTGGTACCGCTACCGCCATTTCAACTCTGGTGAGCAAAATTGTACCAAGACAAGCCCACAGCAAACAGCAGCAAGCCAGCAATGATCGACCACATCATCACACGCATCTGGAACTCCTTAATGCGGGTTGTGAGCTGAAGGTCGAATTTTTCGTGCAGTTCTTGTTTCTGACACGACAATGCAGACTCCAAGAGAGTCCCAAAGGCAATTCCCCCGGCCCGCGACAACGACAACGGCACCTCGGGGACGCTTTTATGATGACGAAGCTTGGAATCGGCTCCTCGTATGTCAGAGCACTTGGCAGAGGTAGCAGACGCAGAGGAGTCGGATCCAGCCGTGAACTTGAATGTCGCAGATCCAGTAGACTTTCCCCACGTTGGAGGACTCTTATCTCCGATCGAATCTTTGTTTTCAGAAGGTTTTGTCCCAAATTTGAATGGTACAGGCTGAGTTTTGGTGCTAGCGAACTGAAATTGCGTGCCAGTAATGGTACTCGTGGCAGACGATCCGCCGAATGGAACCGATGAATACGCCGTCGAGGTGTTGGCCTTGGAACTATCGGTTGTTATGGCTCCTTGCTTGAGCCGTGACCGAGGGGCAGTCTCAGTGGTTTTAGTGCCGATGTGAAAAACTGGTGGTGAGCTGTTTGCCCCAGAGGCGCCAATCGTAGCATCCGTGGTAGAAGTCGAGTTGCCAGCAAGACTCTCTGTCGATTTACCGGCGAAACTGAAAACTGGTGTTGTAGATGTCGGCCAACGGTTTCCGTACGTGTATTTCGACCAAGGGTATTCTGCTCTGCGTGGTCAGGCGATGATTGTGAAAGAAGCCAGGCAAAGCGATTCGGTAACATGTATGTACTTACCAGGGGCGACACGGGGCTCGAGTGATCCCGCTTTGATCTCCTTTTGCAGACTTTGAATAGCATTGTTGAGTTCTCTTGTGATTGCCTTCTTGTTCTCACGAAGCAAGGCCTTTAAGACGCGAGTAGTTGGCGCCATTGACTCAGATTGATCGAAAATGAGCATGTCAACGAACGTGGAGGGGTTAGATCGAACGAGGTAGTAGATGTGGCTCAAGTCGTTGTTCGTGGCTTCGAAGAGGGACATCCACGAGACGGTCGTGTTCTCCGAGTCGTTCTCGTTCTGTTGCTGGAAGAGACTGCATCTTCCAAGTACGTTCGTCTTGACAAGAAAGTTGATTTCGTCGTCGTGAACTTGCTGCGGTTCGTACTGGAGAGACAACTTTTCCAATCGCAAGGAGCGAATATGATAGTTGCTTCGGATCATTTTCACCAGACTATCACGTGTCGCCTGGAGACATCCCCGAGGCACGCACAAATGCAAATCTGGGCAGTTGGAGTGACCGAAACCGTTCGTCAATCTTGGGATGAGGACGTCCTTTGCTTCGGCCATGGTTGTCCCCCAGCCATGAATGACGAGCTGTACTTTTTCAACGACGGTGAATATTCCAGTCAACGCGTCGCATCCTGTCTTGTCGAGATCTTTGGTCCAGAGCGCTATCTCCTTCAATTTGCGGTCCGATCGCGTGGACGTCGACAAAGCACGGCTGAGAGCAGCTAAAGCCTCGTTTGGTAGTGGCAGCGACAGAATTCTCAACCTCTCCAAGTGCACAGAATTTCCGAGACTAGCCACTGTCGACACCTTCATGTCTCCAAGAGCATGGCCACCGACAAGATAGATCTGTTTGATCGAACGAATTTTGCCAATCGTGGCAAGGGCGTTGTCCATCGGGTTGATGGATGGTTCTTCCCCACTGGCGTCCCATTCTTCACCGTCTTTGCGGTGCCCACACGTCAATGTAAAATGCTGAAGTCTTGAATTTCCTTGGAAAGCATGGTCTAGTATTTCAAAGGCATTCTTCGTGCCCACCAGCCGCACATTGACAATCGCGATCGTCTCGATGGCATCTGCTGACTGGAGACAAGTAGCCAAGGACGCCACCGGTACGATGCAATCGCTGCAACGTCGATGATTGTTGTCGCATGAAGAAATTTTCAGCGTCTTGAGCTGACCGATGTTGTCTCCGATACTCTTCATCATCATGGTGAGGTCGGGCTCGTAATCCGTCATTGGACGCGAATGGACGAAGAATTCATGGCTGAATCGCAGCTCCAAGGAACTGACGTTGTTGTAGTCTCCATCATCAACGGCTTGCTTGACAGCATTGATGCCCTTGAGCGAACGCAGCTCGATGGTGCTCATCTTGAAGACGCTAGAAAAGAAGGCAATGCTGTCCTCTTCCAGGAAACGGAAAATGTGGACAGACCAGCAACGTTCACAAAACGCGCGTAAAATAATATTAATAGCCAGCAAGGCTGTGATGGACCTTTCCCGACGTGTTTCTTTCGGCAGAACAGTCGGGTGGAAAGGGGCTTGGCCATACGGTACCGGTGGTACCCGTACTTGGTCACACATGCTCCGCCATCTCTGGTGAATTCATGAATTTGTTTGATTCATTGAATCATCTTGGATAGAGTCGAGCCTCTTCTAAGTCCTCTTTCCGGTCGCACCATGGACGTAGGTCAAGCTCCTACCGGTATGGACTGTATGCATAGCTCTGGAGAATCATCTCTTCCAACAGCTCCATGTAAAACTTTCCTGAACCCACAAAGTTTGGGTCGTTCAACCTCAGTTTCCTAACGGCGCTATGCCGCATTCAGGACCATCAGTATTGTGTGGAGACCCTGCCTGTTGGAAGTCAAATTTTCACTCGGGCTGCCCGACTGATTTGTTTGAAGGTGGAAAGCTGCAGCTGATGACACCAAGAAAGTTGGACCAAAATGAGATTGCTTCGGAGGTGTTCTGTAAGCATGACAAGTTTGCCATCGGCAACGAATGCATTTTCTTCTCCTATCTAAATCCGACCCCCTGTGGTCTTCCGTAGACTGATTCTCCACTCTTGAACCCCTGTTTTGATCACCGCAGAGATGACCATCAAGAATCATTTGCGATTCGAACCGAGCCCAACCAATTCAATCGGGCTCCTCGGCGCTCGATTATGAGCTACAGCAACCCCTAGTTTGCTCCCACTGAAAGTTGTACACATGAAACATGAACGCTTGTTCTCTAAATGATTTGCAACTACCTAATAGCAGAGTAGGGCAATTCAAACATCAACACTGTCTTCAGCATGCTTTTCCAAGTTGGAGGAGGTCTCGTCATTAGTTTCCTCAATGGAGTGGCGAGGGACAGCGATGGCAGGGCCGTCAGATGACATGCTGTTGGTGTGGGTCATGCCGGTTGCATGTGACATGGTATCAGCACCATTAATCATCACAACCCAGAAAGTGTCAAGCTCTCCAAGACCCTTGGCAACAATCTTGTCATCTCGTGGTACCAGCCAATGGCCCTTGCCATCTGTTCGGAGAGCATCTGCATACTCCTGTGAACCATGAATCTTTCCAGGGGATCCATTTTGCTCCATTCTTGCAGCTATCCCAAAAGCAAGAAATGAGTTCAGCTCAACTTGTACCTGGGGCAGATCCAATGAAGCCCAAACAAGAGCAGTTCAACTTACCAGCATTGACGGTACCTCCAAACAGCTAACAGAAGGGGACAAAAGGCAGGATGTTAGATATTTCCAAGGGATACCAGCAGCCACGAAACAGCCACTGACATTCTTACCTGGAAGCGCCCCTTTTCTCCACGAAGCACACCCGCAGTAACAGGTCCACTGCCGAACAAACAAGCAAGGTCAATTTGTATCAGAAGCAGTTTTGAGTACACAGCACACTTCCTGGTTCACAAATCCACTCACCTGTGAAGCCCAACTCTCATCGAAAGCTTGAGTGTCTCCTCACCAAGTTTATCAGCCAAGTTGTGTGTAACTTGTTGCAGCTCCATCATGCATTCCGAAGCAAACTTAGCCATGATAGATGAATGATGTTTCTGTGGGTTCGGGACTCCTTAAAGACACAGGAAACCACAATATATGAGTGGAGTGCTGCCATGATGATTCCATTGTGAGGTGCATGACACACTATTTCCATCACTCACCTGTGACTGCCACATAGCAGTCTCCAATCTTTGAAGGTGTAGATCAATTAATGAAACTTGAGACAAACCCAATTGAGCACAACTCCCAATCCACTCGAGCTGGCTTACAGTTTCCACCTTGAACACCTTCCTCCTCCTTGCAATCTTGTCAAACTGGCCATAGATAGATTCCAATAACTCAAACACTTCCACTGGCTGCCGAGAAGCTGACCAATTGGTGAACCCAACCAAGTCACCAAACAGGATGGTTGTATTCTCAAAGTAATCCGCAATGGGCCTAGAATTCAAACTGCCATTGCCTTCGAGAGGGCTGTCGTCTCCTTTGTTGATGCTATTGGAACTCAAAAGAAAATCCTTTACTGCTTTTTCAGATTCCTTTTTCTGTTCTTCTTCCTTGTAGAGCTGCTGCCTGACATTCTCAGGGAAAAGAGAGCTCACAATTGCTCCTGAGGCCAAGGCTCTCTGCATGACAATTCGCTGACGACGGTTCACCCAAAAGTCATAGACCATGAAGAGTATAGAAGTGAATAGAAAGATACAGGCAGCAGCAATTGTGAACAACAATGGATCTGCAGTCTTGTGAACATCTTCCATGTCACTGGAAGCATAGACAGAAATGGTTCTTGGGCAGAAGTCTTCGGCAAGGGGAAGGCCTGTGTATGTTGAGTAGGAGCCATCCGTTTCCCCGTGAACATTGGCCATGTCTGGGAGCTGGGCAGAATACTTCATTGCATCATAAGCTGGGTCATGCAAATCTCCCGTTCCCAGGAAAGTTGCTTTGGGACCATCAAGACGGTATGTAAAGGCAGGTCCGCATTGATCTTCAAAGACCACAATTGCTCCATCAGAGCCCTCTGGTAGAATGTTCTGGATGTGCTCTCTCCAGGAGATACAAAATGTGGAAATTCCCACAAAGGTATGGTTCTTGGTGAGATCAAGGCTAACTGTCTCAAGACTGTCATAGATTGGGAAGATAATAACAGAGAAGGGCTCGGAAGGGTCAAGACCAGGGCGGATGTAGTTTGAAGCAAACCTGTTGTTACTCTCTGCTGCTGCAATGGATTGTTCACTTGTAGAGTCATAGATGGCATTCACTTGTGGTGTTACCACAACACGCTTATGCATGTCAGCATATAGAATGCCACGTGCCATGGCCTGGACATCCCAGATGTCATAGTTGTATGGATGGCCAGATTCACGGTTAGGGACCATGGGATGAACTTGCCAGCTGGGAAGAAAGTTATTCCTGTTGGACGGAGAGGGTAAGGTAGTCAAGCTGAGCGAGGCCAAACTCATGAGACAAAGCACAAAACATGATCAACTTACATGTAGTCATAGGGTTTGTCTTTTGGTCTTCCGTGGTCAGCAAAAATCTCATGTACGGGAGTAAAGGATGTTTGCTTGGGACCCCACCAGCTCTTATCATGGGCCTGAATATCAAGACTCTCATATATCCAACCATTGGTCTTGTTGCTATACGCAATCCATTCATCATACTGCCAGGGCTCAACAAATGGAAAGACCGTGAAATAGAAGGCCTTGGAGAGCTTGAGGAGTTTAGTGGCATGGATGGCAAAGGCTGGCATCGTGACGTAAGGCCAGGAAGAATTGGAGTATCGGGCATAAGCAACAAGCTGTGTGATGAAGGCATCTGTAGACCCAAGGGTCTGTTCAAAGCTAGTTCCAATCCTGGTGGCAAGAGAAAGGTTGTTTCAGTGATTGAAGCACTCTAGCAATCCACTATGTAGCGATGTGATGAACTTACGTTTCCAATATCTTTGTAGCATCCGAGTCGAACTTGGTTTCAAAAGCCGACTTTTCATTGCCAGTGGCGTAGAAGTAAACTCCCAAGCACACGGCAATGGCCGAAAGAACCAAGACTGTTACAACCAAGGCACGAAACACAAACACAAATCTGCCTTCCTGTTGGGCAATGACATCTCTCTCGTCCTTTCTATCCGCGTCAGCAATCGTGGAGGCGCTGTGGTCGGATGCATCGGCAAGGTCGACGTCTTGGCTATCCTTGGTGATGGCTTGTTCCATCATTGTTGTGAAAGTTGTTTTGGAAATCAGGGGACTTCAAACTGAGAGGTTCGAGGGCTCTATTGTTGGGATTGTGAGAAAAACTAACTGCGCTCGCTTCAAAGCTACGGTAAAAAGCTTCAAAGCTGCCGAAGATTGCACCGTACGTAGACGGAAGAAGAAGGCACGACACTCGAAAGACAATTCTTTTTGGTCATGACCGCACAGACAACCTCGAAGCTTGTTTTTAATTATTGGTAGTTGCGGTAAAAACAGGCTTGAAGATACTCATATTTTCTTTAATGGTTTAGATAAGTTTTGCTACATCTACCTGAATATCACAGCTTGGCTCTTTCCCTTTCAAAGAGAGACTCAGTCATGGTTTTCTTTCGCTTTCGATCATTGACTTATTGCTCAAGTGCTCTTTTCCACTGCTTTTTTTAAATTAAGGTTGAAGTTCGATGTCAGTAATGACTGTCGAAAGAATTCAGCGGGAGATGACGTTGCAATGATGATACAGGATCAAGCCCAGGATCAAAATTGATTGGTCTTGTAATTCAACTGGGTACATGTACGTACTGCAGCAGCTGGGATTGCTCCGGCAGAGACTAACTCCAGTCATAGTGAAGCACCAGTAGCAGAGCAAATGAGGGTCCACAACCTTAAAGCCAGCATGACCGGCAGGTAACTGTAGGTGGTGCCTGCTCACCCAGCATTGGCATTGGATGAGCTGGCACCAACAAGATAACAAGCACCAAGTGCTTATTCTCTTGTCTTTGCACACCAACAACAGTTGATGTACAAAGCCTTCGTTTTCCTGCCTTGCCTCATCGCTATCCGACATCTCGTCCCGTTCCGCCTTTGCTTCTTCATCTTTGTCGCGCCCCCTTTCTTCCGTCTTTCTCCCCATGACCGACAACGATCCCCCTCTTTCTCCGACGGCCGCCATCGCCCAGCCCCTTCTTCTTCAGGGTCTCCTCGGGCCCCGGCTCGTCCATACTCAAGATCTTCCCACTTCCATCCTTCTCCGCTCCAACTCCTGGAATGATGCTGCTATCATGCAATCCGACTCCACCTCGGCTATCGCCGCTTCCCGCTTCCGCTCCACCCTCCAGGATTCCCAACTTGATGGCCTCTCTGCCAAATACACCGCTCCTTCCAACCTCTCGGACTCCTTCTCCGATCTCCTTGCGAAATCCATTCGCAGCGGACCCCACACTCGTGCCTGGTCTCGCACCGAAGCCTACAATCTCATGCCCCGCCGTAACATTGGAGGTTTTCTCATCATCGCCAAGTTCCGCCTTGCCGACGGCTCTCTTTCAGCCCCCCTCTTCTGTATCACGGGACCCCCCGCTGTGGCTCCGCCCACTTCCATTGGCTCTTCCAACAGCCTCTTCCCGTCGGCTTCCATGCCGCCTGACACTCAACTGGCCACTCAAGTGCCCTTTCCACCCCACGTTCAGCCCGTGGCCCTCCCGTTTGCCACTCAATCTTGCTCCACCATAGCTTCCTTAGCCACCTCCTCGTCTCCTGACTCCATCATTGATGACCTACCTATCGGCGTCATCCCCGACGCCCGCAACATGTTCGAACTAGTCCCAATCCACAACTCCGTCATGAATGTCATGCAAGACCTCCCCGAGACGCATCCATTCATTGCCAACAACATCTGGATTCCAGACATCATCCCTGATGATTCTTCTCAGGCATCCACACCCAACTTAGAACTCATCACCATTCTCCGAGAAGGAGCTGTCCCACCCTGTCCCCTCGCAGCACCCTCGCCTTGGCCCAAACCAGCTCCACCTGGCTCAACCACCACTATTCCTCTCGCGAACGCCAACTCCCACCCATCATTCGCGACCCAAATCTACCTCAAATCCACGGAGCCCAACAGCTCCCCTGATATCTCCCATGGAATCATCTTTGCCCCCAAAGCAATCCCATTCCCTCCCGCCACCGGCCTCCCCATTGGCTTCGTCGCGGACATCACCAACATTTCTCTCATCCAGCTCACCGCTGCTATAGCCCATCTCGCCTATGAAGATGACACCAAACAAATTGAGTGGCTCTTGAACCCCATCACCGAGTTATGGTACCAAGCCGCTCAAGATTCTCCCGACATTTTCGTCAATATCATCGAATCTTATCAAGCATTCACAGCCCCCTTCAAACCACTCCCCATGCCCCCTCCTTTCAGTCTCAATCTCACCCGTCATATGGAATGGTCAATCATCCACACAATCCTCTGGGACTACGCTCTAGCCGGTAGCTCCTCGGCCGTGCAAGCCAAACTAGTGACATACGCCCAACGTGCCCTAGCCGACGCCCACGCCCTTCCTCCAGACAGCATCTTGCCCCCTCTCGGCTATGCTTCCTCCATCTGGAACCAGCCATACATCTTTGCCTATCGTCCTCCCGACACTAAAAGCTGGCTCACTCGCTACCATCTCAAACTCTATTCTCAGTGGGCCAAGCCTCCCCCCGCATCCCAGCGAAAGGGCTCCAAGCCAACGCTCTAGCCGACATAGCATACAACATGTTCTTCCTTTTTCACTTATTCACCATGGATTGGTCCCTCACACACATTCTTGGTCCCGGTCACAGCCCCTTCTCACGCTTCTCTATCCTGGGCGGACAGTTATTGTTTTTCGCTGACATCTTCAAAGATCGATCCTTTCAAAATAACTGGGCGACAGCTCTGTCCACGGATGACCGCCTCCGAGCCACACAAGCCGCCTTTGCTGCTCTCGACCAGCTGTTTGACATCTTCTACACCTGGCACACACCCAAATTTGCACCCGACACGACATTCCTCCGTGGATGCCGCAACTCCACCACCAACTTCCCGTTTCTCATTCACTGCGTTACTGATGCATCTACACCGCTCCAAACCGCCCTCCTAGACTGGCGCACACAGCTCGGGTCTACATTCACAATTGCCCAACTCCAACAAGGTATACCACGTGACGGATTCTTTTCTGTCACCCTCCCTGATATCGTACTCCCGTCCAAACGACATGACCAATCTACCACCTCTCGTCATTCGAACGACTCTCGTTCCTCCAACCGTCAGACCACACAGTCATCCACCCGTGACTCCACGTCCTCTCGACGCCAACAATCCTCTTCGCGGACACAGCTCCCCGAAGGCCTCAAAGCCACAAAACCACTCATTGAACCTACTGGTTCCTCTAATCCACTTCCCCTAGCCCGACTCATTTCTCAATACAACAAATCTAATCCCTCAGCGAAGATCTCGATTCCTTCATTCCCTCAATCCACAGCCCCTAATGGTAAGCAAATGCAATACATGGCTCTTAGCCTTATTCGCGACTCGATCCTAGATAGGGTTTGAGTTCGACTCATGACTGAGTCTTTCGTGAATAGTCATTGAGACAGGGTTCTCATGACCGCTAGTCATACTAGGTTGATGGTGAAACATCGCGCTAGATATTTAGCTGGCGTGGAGTACTTCCACGCTACTAGATAAATGCTAGACGAATCTTCCACGCGTTCCGTTTTTGGATCGTGGAGTGAGTAGGATTGCTACCGCAACCTACTCTATCACACTTTACAGTCTCCCGCGGGAGTTCAGATCTACGATCCTTTGATTGTGGATCTCTCTCGTTGATTAGTTTTCATAGCTTTCTAATCCTCTCATAACTTTCATTCTCTCAAACTCAAAACACTCGAAAGATCTTTACACTAGCTTTTAGCGTAGTGCATTTTGTTAACAAACACAATAGCTTTCAGCTACCCTCAACCTATTCCTCACCATGAAGATTGCCAAAGACGCGTACACCAGCTTCGAGTCTAAGCTGCGCGACAAACCAATCCTTCCTCTCATCGACCGCGACGATGAATGCGAAATCGACGATTCTCGCTCCACCACCTACAAACTTCGCACTGTTCCAGCAGATGCTGACAGCGCCAAGTACACCTTCAAGGTCCAAATCATCAATGGATCTGAGACTCCTCGTCAGACCATCAAGTGGGCTGGACGCATGGAGACGTTCGAGAATTCGTATCATCAACAAACCCTGTCATGAACAGCTTGACCCGCTTTTTGAGCCGTCTGGGCTTGCAAATGCAATACACGGCTCTTAGCCTTATTCGCGACTCGATCCTAGATAGGGTTTGAGTTCGACTCATGACTGAGTCTCTCGTGAATAGTTATTGAGACAGGGTTCTCAATGACCGCTCTAGTCATACTAGGTCGATGGTGAAACATCGCGCTAGATATTTAGCTGGCGTGGAGTACTTCCACGCTACTAGATAAATGCTAGACGAATCTTCCACGCGTTCCGTTTTTGGATCGTGGAGTGAGTAGGATTGCTACCTACTCTATCACACTCTACAGTCTCCCGCGGGAGTTCAGATCTACGATCCTTTGATTGTGGATCTCTCTCGTTGATTAGTTTTCATAGCTTTCTAATCCTCTCATAACTTTCATTCTCTCAAACTCAAAACACTCGAAAGATCTTTACACTAGCTCTTAGCGTAGTGCATTTTGTTAACAAACACAATAGCTTTCAGCTACCGTCAACCTATTCCTCACCATGAAGATTGCCAAAGACGCATACACCAGCTTCGAGTCTAAGCTGCGCGACAAACCAATCCTTCCTCTCATCGACCTCGACGATGAATGCGAAATCGACGATTCTTCGTCGGGCTCGCCATTGGTACGCCTGACGACAAACATAACCTCCTCAAGGAGATGACTTCTAGCTCTGCCAAGAGCAGTTACGAATCTAGCTGTGCAGGCCATCGTGAAATACGTTGGAATGCCTTGCGCCAGATTGCAGTCAACACGATTCCTCCACGCGACGTACGTGGCGGTGAAGACGAAGCCGCTTTCCAAGTACGTTTCCAGGCTGCCTGGAACGGAGCAGCTCAGCTGCTTTGGACGAACTGCGCATTACGTTTGGCATAAATGCCTGTATCGAAGCGGTCTGTCCCTACAAGGCTCTTTGAAAGCAGAAACGCTTCATGCGCCGCAAGATGCGTAAGCCTGCTGATATGTACTCGGGTTATGTCAACAACCTCAGATCGGATGAACCCGATGAACTTCCTAAGTTTGCCACATTTGGCACCCAACCTAAACGTTGAAGATGACGAAGTCATTGACATTGTTGTCATGGAATTCCAGCGCTCGTGGATGAAGTAAGCATGACGAACACGACTTCGAAATCTTTTCAGCTCCTATCGGAGAACCATTGGGGTCGTAAAATTACTCATTTAGTTTAGCAAACTATTGCCACGGAGTGGCTTTTATAACGCGGGCAAGTGGTGGGAAAGCCCCCACCTAGCTGAATCGTCATCTACTTATTTGCCAAATCAACATGACCTCATCAACTGGCCAAACGTGGAGCCAGCACCAAGTAGATAGAGGCCCTGGGTAGGGGGGTGACCACATTGATAGGGAACCTACAGCGCAAAACCTGGGTTAAAGGGGCTTACACAGGATTTTATCGGTATTGAAACCATTATCACCATAGGGACAGTGAGGACCAGATAGATTACCAGACCAAAAAGAAGTGGCTTCATGCCAGTGATGATGTAACTGAAGAAGTGAATAACCACAAGGTCCAAAGACAAATTAAGCAAAAGAAGAGCACTTGGACAAAAAACTGAACAAAAGGCAAGATGCAAAGCAAGAGCCCGTAGGAGGTTAGGTACTCCTTAGGCTGGACCAGAGCAGGTGTACCAATCCAATGCACAAAAATTGTTAGATAGAGGCCCACAAGCAGGCAGAAGATGGGGTCAAGTGACACACTGGCAGTGTGTGTTTCCCAGGAGGGAGGCACAGTGGCTGATGGAGTGTTGTGGGCTGTTCGAGGGTTTGTTGAGTCAATAGAAGAAGGATAAGGGGGCACTGGGAGTGGGCTGGTGCCAGGGGCAGGAGAGGGGAGATCCTGTTGTGTTGAGTGTTGTTGTAAGAGTTGGGATGTAGCATGGTTATGGTGTGTTGTAGGTAGAGGCGTGCCTCTGTCAGGTGAGAACAAAGGCATCCTCCCTGGTGGGTAGGGTGTGATTCGGAAGGGTGTGATCCTCAAGTGGCTGCATGCTCTAGGACTGTTGGCTGATCATCTGGGAGTGGTGTGTGTAGTCTGCGGAGGATGGTGGATGTGGTTGTTGGGTGAAGTGTGGGAGTGGGGATGTCTGGGAGGACCTGGGTTTGAGTGAAGTAGTGGTAGACATGGGAAGTCATGGTGGGTGGTACATCTAAGAAGCGCATTTTAGGTAGTGCTAGAATCGACATGCGGCAGTACCAAACGCCAACCAGCACGATCCCGATCCGTGACGTAATTTCTTCCAAGAATGCGTACAGTGATTGGAATCGGGAATGTGTGTTCCACATGGGCATGCAACGAAGGCCCGCCCGGCAAGACTGCCTGCTTCACGATTTGGGATCCACTTTTTGGACCGTCTTTTCGGGAAGGCAAACCCTCTCTTTGGTACCATAAACTAATCCCGATTGGTAAGCGGGCGGTTCCCCAGCACACAAATCCAAATCACCAGCCAGTGCGCCTAGCTATACTAGTAGCAGCTTGTGTTGGCTAGCTAGCTTGCAGCCATGGCATCATCCAAGAAGGTATTGAGTGCCCTTACTGCAATAAAAAATTCAAATCTGTGGGTATCAGCAATCTCACATGCAACAGAACAAGCGCTGCCACCAATGATGCAGAAAGCCCTTGGTTTTGGACCTTGCTTTCAATCCTTAGGTGCTAGACAGACAAGTCAAGGCCAGAGCTGATAGCTTGGTCTCACTGACACGGCGGCCGCAAAAGCACAAGAAAGGCAGCAGAGGACAAGATTCCAGGGCAGCATTCCACAAGGATTGCAGGACGAGGAATGCCCATGCCAAGGGCCTCACTCCAAGGTAGTTGTGGTTCCAAAGAAGACGCAGACCATCGGAAAGCTGCAGCAAATCCTCGAATCGGCAACAAAAAGGGTGCCGATGGGGAAGGAATGGGGAGCTAGATGAGGATGGTGATTTCCTACCAACATTGATCGTTTCAACGCGGATTCGGATAGTGAGCCTACCAGTGAGGACAGTGAGCTAGTTTGGAAGGGCCAGTTGCCACATTGCAAGTGACAACAAAGAGGATTTGGATGATACCGGCCCCCAGACGAAAGCCACATAAACGCATTCAGAGCCTACTGTGTCAAGGCAAAGAAATAACCCGAGCTAACCGATTCGGAGAAGCGAGGGGTCAAACTAATGGATATCTCCGTAGGAAAAGACAACCTGGATAACTATGATGATGTACTTGCTTGGCATTTGGATGAAACTGGGTCGCTAATAGAACAACGAAAAGCTGGGAAAAATTCAGACTACACTCAGCAGGAAAAAACTGCTCCGAATTCTTAGGAAAAGTACAACATGAGTCGACAAATTACCTTTTGATAAGGAGATAGCCTTCCTCATTGCAATGCCCGTGATCAAAGTCATTTGCTTCGTGCTGGAATTGTGTGGAGCAATTGCTTACTCGATCCACGCCTCACAGATGAGGTT